ACTAAAACTACAGTTGATGAACTATACCCCGCCGAAACATGCAATTATGCATGTTTCGGCGGGGTATCTATAGATACTTTTAGCTGCAAAACAAATTAACAGGTCTGTTATGATCACTCCCTTTGTAGTGATATTAGACTATTTGAAAACAAGTGGCAAATCAGCGAACCGCATGCGTGTACAAGTACCATGCATGCAAGTGCACTTTTGGAAACGTTAGTAATTGTTCCAGAATTTGGAGACAGTTGTAATTTGTTGTAATTGGACAATTCGCATCTCGTGCCATAAGCTGGGAACACAATTTAGAAACAATACACGATAGAAGAAACAAAGCAAGTACTATGAACGCCAGATTCATATTTAGGCGGTTGCACCCAAAGTTGAAGTCCGGATAGCCGCACTATCCACCAGATATAGGGATTTTTTCAAGCTTTGTAAAATAACTCATTGTTTGGTATATAACCCAAGTTAACCCAGATTAAACATGAGTATTTAGAAATTGCAGTTTCGTTCTATCAATTGTGAGGTCCATTTTTGTAATTTTACAGTTTTTTTAAGCATTTTTAAAACGGCGGTAGAAAAAATCATTATGGGGGATCATATGGCGCTATCCGCCCTTTCTACAACTGACCTCTGATTCTCTGATCAATAATGATGGTCAATCTATAATCAGGTTTCATGCGCGTTTATAACTGCATGCATGCGCGCGTTACCCATATGAAGTGTATGAAGAAGAAAAAACTGGATTTGAATATTAAGATGCGTAGCTTAAGGAGCGTAAGTTGAAGTGTATAATATACACGTCCCCACGAAATGAAAATTGAAACATCCGATGCCCACGCGACTCATCAGTACAGCTTTTTGATGACTTTCGTTTGACCGATGCAACTTTCTCTCACTAAGCACATGTGGTACAGCACGGGGTATCAACGCATCCGGACTGATGCGCAGAGTATCATGGGGTCAGAGTGCTCAAACAACCTCGAGGAAAATGAGCTTTGTAAATATTGATAATGGACACCTAGTTAACTACAAAGAGTAGTACAATCTGCAAATATGCATGTTTCGGCGATCCTACGCCTCATCAGTGCACGCAGCTTTGACACACATTTATTTACACACATGTAACTTGATTTCTCTAAGCGCATGTGGTACAGCACGGGCATCAACGCATCCAGACATGCGCAGAGTGTTATGGAGCCAGAGTGCTCAAACGGCCACAGGGGAAGTGAACTTTTGCTCTACAACACCAAAGTGCCGCATGTCCGGATGCATTGATGGCCCGTGCTGCACAACATGCGCTTTGGAGAGCAAGTTGCATGTATACCAATGCGATTAAGCAGCGTTGTAACGAAGAGTCATTGACGCTATTTTAAGCGACTCAACACAACTCGAGTCCAATACGAAAAATGACTCGACTCGAGTCAACAGCCCCAAATGACTCGACTGGGACTCGACTTGCTGATTTTTGCCGTAAATGACTCGAGTCAACTCTGTCTCAGCTACAACTTGTACAGAATAAATTGATCAAAATTTTTGTGATTGTATTGCTTGGGAAGATTTTGTGATTGTATTGAATGAGAACTTCGAAACTTTATCAGAAAATACATGGGGATTTGCATAGAACATATAGATCGGAAGAGCATGTCTTTTACATTTCTGTTTTTAGAAACAACGCTAGTGCTGCAGTTTTTAAAACGGAGTTTCAAAATTTTGTGTACTTATACTAATTTTGACCGGCTGTTTTCATTTTTTACTCAAAAATGAGTGGGGTGAGTGTGGATCAGTTAAAAATGGGAAATGACCAGCCTGCTTTGCGCGCACTGTTTGCCTGCGAATCGGGCCTTCCAGAACCGGAAATCGGGCTGGGGCACGCGTTCGTTCTTCGCGAAGCACGACAAAAGGGTGAAATGACATGCAACATTCGCACGGTGCCCAGTTTGCAAAAACAACTGCAAACTGCTCTAATTCTTTCTGTCATTTTCATTTCATCTTATTCGTGAGTCGGCCTCAACGGCCATTGATTGATATTTATGAAGTACTATATCATTTTAAATTAACTTACAAAGCGTTGAAAGCGTGTTTAGTTAAAATCTATTCTTTGTTAATTCTGACTCCAGTTGCAAGTTATGCTACTAGATGTATGCATGTACGTATACTGTATATACACTCGATCAGCAGGCATAATAAGGCATCTCAAGTGGTCGTACTTAATATTGACTAGAACTGTGATATTGATACAACTTAGCTACCCAGATACTGTTATTAAATGACTAAAGTAATTAGCTTAGGTAAATTTGATTACTAATTTCAGACTACAAGCTACGGTAGCGAACATATTGCGGAAAACGTGCCGTGGACTTGATCAAATTCCCTGACTCAAGTCAAGTTTAGCAGCTATTGACTCGACTCGACCTAAATCAGTGACTCGACTCGAGTGAAGCTGCTGACTCGACTCGACTTGACTCGATCAGAAACTGAAATGATTCGACTCGACTCGTGACTCGACCTTTCAGTGACTCGACTCGATATGACTCGTTACAACACTGCGATTAAGTCATCGTGTGTCTAGATTACTAGATGTGTACCAAGCTGCACTGATGAGGCGTAGAACCGCCGAAACATGCATGTCTGCAGAGTGCTATTACGAACACCGCGGAAAAACGTCTGCGCATGCACCAAATTATGAAAATATGGCGGAGAATTTGAATATCAATTTCTAAAACAAAAACATGCTTATTAATTGGTCAAAAATTAGTAAAACAAACGAGAAAATATAGCATATGGGTAGACTAGACATTAATTGAAAGCGTCCTGGCATTTAAAGTATGGAATGAAATATAATTCATGTAAAAAATTGTTGATTTTAACGGACACGACTTCGAACATTTTTGCAAAATTATTCAAAACAAAAATTCAAACTCAAAAGTTAAGAAAACTCTCGAAAAGTTAAGCTTCTTAACCCACTTAAATTGTAGAATAAATCCTAAAGTTTAATTATTGTGAACACGAAAATTTTTTTTATTTGGCGACACAGTTTTTTTTAAAGAAATGTATCTCAAACGAAAATTCGGAAATTCTCGTTGCTTAGTTGATAAACAAAATGTTTCAGACGATAAATTTGTCAACAATCACCTTTAGTTCATGTTCTTGTACAATACAATTTCTTGAACCTTCTGGCTGTATTTATTCCTAGTTTTTAGAATGACATGTTTATTTTTGCGCTCGAAATCTGGCTGTAAAGACGCACAATGAAGTCACTCCCTTTTACCGCCATTTTGAGCCTTCGGAAACGTTCGGAACAGCTTCTCATCAAGTTCGCAATACTATTACAGGTAAGGTTGACGCATGCGCAGACGTTTTTCCGCGGTGTTGCTATTACGCTCCTTCACTTCGGTGTTCTAAAGCACTTTGTGAGTTAATTGGGTGTCCATTAGCAATAATGCAAAGCTCACTTCCCTCTTGGTTATTTGAGCACTCTGGCAGCATGACACTCTGCGTATGTCTGAATGCATTGATGGCCCGTGCTGTACCACATGCGTTTGGATAGGTAATGGCATGGTTTCGAGTCCAATTTGGATATAACATGCACGAGTGAGTTTTTCAAAGACCTCAAAACAGCACGAGTCCAAAGGACGAAAATCAATCAATCAGTTTAAATCCTAAACGCCCGTGGTCCTGTGGAGGCCCAATTACCTATCTCTAAAATACAATATAGTCAACTAGCGGTTTTGCTTTTAGGCAAACGTTATGTAGTGTGAATCGGCCTTTGAAACGAGTAGCTGTGACAAAATGAACCCCAAAAATGAAAATGTACATCAAAATTAGCATGGATATAGTTAACACCGAGCAGCTGCATGTGTTTTTATGATTCATGATGGATTAGTAAAAGTGCAAAGCTGATTTAAATGAGCGTGAATTGTAATTGGTTTTGTTGCAACGTTTCGACCTCGACCATAGATAGTTTCGATCCAGAGGAGGAATGAGGGTCTTCCCGAAATGCAGCGCGTAAATCAGTGCGGTTATTATTATTCAAGATATTTATTCTCAACACGCCGTTCGATTAAAAACTGTTAAAATATATTGCGATTTTTGCTGTTTTGTTTGGTAATTTAATAAAAGAAGTTTTGAATAATTTTGTATATATATCGCATTTTACTTATGTTAAATTCCCATTGTATTTATGCATGTTTTGGGTCAATAAACATGACCTTCAAAGTGGCATTGAAATATTCACGAGTAAATTGTGCTTTTTTACAAGGAAACTAAAATAAAATCGCATGAGTAAATTCAGGAATGTTTACTCTTTATAATGATACTTTAAAACATGAATTTACTCAATAAAACTGAAGAGTTATCGCGGTTTGAAAATGAGCTATTTTTGGAATTTTTTGCTATAATTATAGCAAAAATAGCTCATTTTCAAACCGCGATAACTCTTTTTTTATGGAGTAAATTCATGTTACAGTATAAAAAATAAACATTCCTGAATTTACTCATGTAATTTTGTTTTAGTTTCCTTGTAAAAAAGTACAATTTACTCGTTAATATTTCAATGCCACTTCGAAGGCCATGTTCATTGACCCAAAACATGCATAAATACAATGGGAAATTAACATAAGTAAAATGCGATATATATACAAAATTATTCAAAACTTCTTTTATTAAATTCTAAACAAAAAAGCTATCAAAACATACCTTTGAGAAAACGAGATCTTCAAAGCAAAAATCGCAATGTTAGGAAAGTTTGCCTCCAAAACTGATTCCCAACAAATAATACGTCACTTCGCTTAAAATCACTCACAAATTAAAGTTTAAAAGTTATATTTAATAATAGAAATCGCTTCGCTATAAAATCTCACTTCGCTCTCACAAGTCTCACAAAAATGTGCTTAACTCAACAAAATTAACACTGTTCGTACCCAGTCTCCGACACCCTCCCCCCATATAGCTGTAATAACTGCTATATGTCCTAAAGGAGACTGAAGTATTGCTAGTAACTAATCGTCATTGTACATGTTTATAGCTCTTATTTGTTCTTCAGCTGCTATTGCTGCTCCCCGTCGTGGACGAAACTCTTCAACATCAGGATTCAACGGTTGCTTCGAGTCATTGAAGTCACATTTCAACTCTAAAGGGTAGAGGTGTTGAGGGGTTCTCTCCAAAATTCCATTTCCCGTTTGAACCTTAGCGCCACGAATTTCTCCATCACGACCGAGTATAAGACGAACTACTTTCCCGAGTTTCCATAGATTCCGATTCTTTTCATCACCTCTAATTATGACAATATCGCCAACCACTGGTGATTCGGTCTTCTTATCTTGCTGTAGTAATCGATGTTTCTCGCGCAGACTTCGTACGTACTCTTTACTCCATCTTGCCCATAACGAATCCTTCACTTTAGACAGATATCTAGCTCGCTTTCGTAACGTAGTTTCCTGAAGGTGATGTGGCTCCAATTCTAACGGCTGAGTAGGTTGAAGGAACATAAAGGAATTGGGTGTGAGTAGAGGGAGTTGGATATCATCTTCCACATAATCTAACGGACGACCGTTGATAGACGTCTCAACATCCAATACTATCGCAGACAGCTCATCAAAATTCAAGGTACCGTTTCCAACTGTCTTGTGAAATGCCGATTTGAAAACTCCTACAAGTCTCTCAAATTGTCCACCCCACCAGGGTGCTCTACTTAGGTTAAATTTCCATTCAATGGAGTTCTTTGCCAAGTAATTGTTGATCTTCTCGTCTTTATTGATCAGATTTATCAATTTTGCTGCCGCTTTAAAGGTACTACCATTGTCAGAGTAAATAATTCTTGGTCTTCCCCGTCTTGCTACGAATCTTATTAATGATCTCATGAACTCGCCCGTTTCCAAGTTCCAAATAGACTCCTCGCGTCAGACTACAAGCATAAAGGATCAGATATGCCTTCCCATCAGTGTTCGCTTTGATTCTGTACTTTATCGGTCCCGCAAAGTCAATACCGACCACTGCATACGGAGTTTCGCCTTGCGTACGACTGGTTGGTAGCTGTCCGGGGGGTGGCGAAGAATACGATGTAGCTCGGAACCGTACACATCCATAACAAGAACTCCTAACTAGCTTTACCAATCGCCTTAACCTCGGAATCCAATACTGCTCTCGTAATTTAGCCATGGTAAGGGTTACTCCCCCATGAAGAGTATCCAAATGGGCTTGGAATACTAATGCTTTCGTGTAAGATGCTGTGTCCGGTAGAAAGGTCGGGTATTGACCTTCGATTCGTCCTCTGCATTCTAGTACTCCCTCACTATTCTTCTGAATGTTAAACTGAACTCGATCTCTCTGAAACTGTTCCGTATTAGTTGATAGAGCTTCTTGTTGTGTCTTCTTAATCCACCACAGTTCTTGGTGTTGGATCTCCTGCGTTGTCAAAGGACCAGTTTTCCGCTCATCAATCGCTTTCCGGCAGTTCGTCAGAAATCGGTTAACCCAAGCACAAACTCTTAACGTTTTCCCAACATTATTGGCGTGAACAGTCTGTAACTCATCGAAGGGGCTCTGATCATCATCATTCGGGACTTGCAAAGCACAGGTAGACAACACTCGCTCGAGTTGTTCCTCAGTTTTACTCTCTTTCGTCGGCTTCAAGACTGGGCTTTTGGGCCATTCCTCTTGGTTCGATAACCACTGCGGACCTGATATCCACTGATCGGTTAGTTGATTTGTTCCTCTACTGCCAAGGTCTGCAGGATTGTCTTTCGTTGGTACGTAATGCCATGAGATGTTGGGATGCTGGTGGATTTTGTTCACACGGTTTTGAACAAACTGCTTGTATCGCCCATTTCCCTGCAGCCAATATAACACAACGGTACTGTCGAGCCAGCAGTGTTGGTCAACAACAAGGAAGCGGTCCAATGCTTGACGGACATTTGCTGGAAGGTTAACAGCCATATGAGCACCAGTAAGCTCCAATCGTGGAATCGTGAGGTTGCGTTTCGCCAACCGAGACTTCGCAGCCACCAAAGTTTGAGTTGTCCCTGATGGTTGGTTCACTACTGAATACACGGCTGCACTTACGCCCTTGGTGCTAGCATCTCTAAAGGCATGGAGAGTCACTGAATGAATATCTTCTTGGAATTTTGCAAGTGACCGTGGTACAGTTACTAACTCGGGTATTCTCTTCTCCCACATACTCCACTCCTGAGCACTTTGACCACTGAGTTCTGAATCCCACGAGGCCTTCGAATCGCATACGTCTCTGTATACCATCTTCCCGCTTACGGTGATTGGCGAAGCTAATCCGAGAGGATCATAGACTCTTGCTAATTTACTCAACATTCCACGCTTAGTAGTCGCTGGTGGATCACTTGGGAACACAACACTCAAGGTATCTTCATCCTTTTCCCATTTAAGACCGAGTAATTTGGATTCATTCGGTTCCACACCTAACTGTGTTTTTGCGAATGTTTGTTCACACTCACTGCTAGTTTTTTCACCGTCCTCTAATTCCTTTTCATTGGAATTCCATTTGTGTAACTTGAAAGCACCATCAGCCAGTACTTCGGTCATTGCTAACTTCTTAACACCAGCTTCTGCAACAGTGTTTCCGCCAGATAATGGATCATCAACATACAAATTCTTCCTTAGCTCCTCCACTATCGCAGGCTTCCTGTCACGCCAAAGTTCTAGATGCTGATCAATAACTCCTCCGAGGAGAAAGGGTGAGCATGTTAACCCAAAGAGGGCACGAGTGAACCTGTAGATATGTATTTGATTGTCCCCAGGATGTTTCCAATGAAATCTTAGAGCGTCACGTTCAGCAGCCTTGATGCGTACTTGGAGGAATGCCCTTTGAATATCTCCACTAACAGCGACTGGATAACCTCTTTGTCGAATTAACACATCCCATAGCCGGTTCTGTAAGGGAGGACCTGGATTAAGGCAGTCGTTTAGTGAGGGTGCTGATAGGGTTTCTCGAGCGGAACCATCATATACAACCCGAAGCTTCGTTGTTTCTGCTTTATCTCTTACAACTGCTCTATGGGGAAGGTAGAATTCCTGGTTTTCGGCTTTAGTTGGAGCTGATTCAACAATACCTTCTTCTAACTGATCCCGTATGATTTGGTCGTAGGCGTTGTAAAGTTCTGTCCGCTCAAGTTTTCGTACCAAGCTATTGAGGCGACTGATACTTCCTTTCTCATTAGTTGGAAGATTTGGGTGATTCCCATGCCATGGTAGTGCAGTTTCATACCATCCTTGGCCATTGCGAACTAACTGCTCTTTAAACTCTGAATAAACTTGCCCCTGGTCGTTTTCTGGTTTATCTTCCAATCCTAACACATGAAGTTTGCACAGTTGCTCATAATCGGAATGAGTGGTTTGTGTCAGGAACATCTTGGCTTTGTCAAACTCGCTACCAGGCGACATTATAAACCAACCGAGCTTTGTTAACTCCGCTATAGGCTTACCGTCTCTACCAACATGGGGTTTTGCATCAGTCTTAATTCGAGAAAAATCACCGCTACTTAAGACAACATGGATTGGAAGCTGTGCTTTAACATCATTTTCTACTATTTCAACTCCTTCCAAATGTGGATACTTCTTGATATTTTCTTCATAACATGGGTTATCAACGAATAGTAGCTCTTGCTTTTTTACCTTTGTCAAATTCACGGACATGCGAAAGTCCCCAGTAACTGCTTCAACAACTGCTTCATAAGTCTCCAACAATGCTTTCTGAGAGTCCATCAGCATATCAACTCGTTTCCTTGCTACTTCAACTGGTTTCTTTTTCAGCAGAAATTAATTAGTTTTGCAGAAGCATAGGAGCTCCCTGCTCCGGAGTCGATCAGAGCTCTGCATTCAATGCCATCCACTTTCATTCTAACAACAGGAAAGATTCCTTCCGGATTCACCTCACATGAAATTAGCAATTTCTTCCCCTTCACTCCACTCTTGGAATCATTATCACAAATTGAGGTGTGGTGACGCCGCCCACATTTTTGACATTTAGACTGACTTGGGCAATCATTCGCACGGTGTGATGAACCAATGCAGTTATAACACAGATGTTGTTTGGTAAGAATCAACCGTCTTTCAGACACAGATGATACTTTTGGGCACTCTGCTGATTTGTGTGATTTCTCAGTACAATAGACACACCCCTTGAGAGTAAAATCTTGACGTCGGACATTAAGCAGTTTTCCTGAAGGAAGCTTCTCAACTGGGTTTCGCCGAGTCCAGAGTCTCACCGCATCAGACAGTTTTACAAAGTCCCAGGATTCCCAAGCATCATCTGTTCGAACAAGGTCGCCACGTATTCCAGGTAGTTTGTCTAGTGTCATCGATACATACCCACTGACTTGAGAAAGTTTGCCAAGTGTTTCCAAAGACTGCACCGCATATGATAATTTATCCGAGAACTCATGAATTCGCTTCACATTACCATCCGGAATTTTGGGCAAATCGAAAATCTGCTTGGTATAAGCCTTTATTATTTCTGATTGTTTCCCATATCTGTCTTGAAGGATACTCTTTGCTCTATTATAACCTTCACTTGTAAAGGGTAGTGATTCCACAGATTTCCTGATTTTAGGTTCCAACAACTCTTGTAAATATGTGAATTTAATGACAGCATCAATACTTGTTTTGTCCACCGTCTCTCGGAATTGTTCCCAGAATCGAGGCCAGTCTTGGTAGGCACCATTAAATTTAGTAATGATGAGTTTAGGTAACTTTGCTTGTGACTCTTTCTTTTCAACACTTGCTGATTCTTGCTTTAGTTTAGCTGCCTGTAGCTCATTCTGGAATTTTAGGCGTGTCTGAAATAGTTCATGTTCAAAATCTAATTCTTGCTTCCGCTGGTTTTCCTCGCATTCTCGTTTCTTACTTTCACACCATTCTCTCAGGTCATGAATGTCCTTGTCTGCTTCAGATAACTTTTCCTCGATGTTTGAATTCCATTCACTAATTTCTGTCAACTCCTTTTTCTCGTCAATCATTCTTGCTTCTTCTTCCACTTTACATTTGTCTATGTCAGCAACAATGGTTCGCAAAGCTCGTTGTTGTCGCTCAACTGCTTCTTGATTTCCGGATTCCAGAATCTTTCTGGTTCGCCCAACTATAAGCTTAAGCTGTACTAACTTATTCTCAATTACACTGTTCCCAGTTGCCATAGTATCAATAGATTTGATGTTGTATGATTATAAAGTATACAGAATTTGCCAATAAGATATAGCACTTGTAGAATGTCCTTCCAGCCAACTAAAATTTGGGAGCATGCAGCTGCCAAAATTTACTAATCACTCCAAAAAACACAAATGTTTGAAAATCACTTTACCTCTAGAGGGCCCCTCTAGGGCCGAATCTCGTAGGCGGAACTTCGCACACTCTAGCCTGGTCGCAGGCTAAACTCGCGGGTTGCCGTAACACCCTTCACAGTACACAAGTTACACAGAAAATATATCGCTCACAGATACGAAATATGTCGCCACAAATCGCCAAAATATGAATAATAATCCCACAGTTCAGAACGTAAACAAGTCTTTACACAATAATCTCTCAAACGTTATGTAATATCGCCACAAATATCGCCAGTAAATTAAAAGAATTCGTAGAAATAATTCGCAAATTTCATCAATATTTTTCGTCGGAGGTGCCAGGTGTTAGGAAAGTTTGCCTCCAAAACTGATTCCCAACAAATAATACGTCACTTCGCTTAAAATCACTCACAAATTAAAGTTTAAAAGTTATATTTAATAATAGAAATCGCTTCGCTATAAAATCTCACTTCGCTCTCACAAGTCTCACAAAAATGTGCTTAACTCAACAAAATTAACACTGTTCGTACCCAGTCTCCGACACTGTATTGTGTTCTGGTATGATATATGGCGTATTGAGTTTTGTTTTGGTAATGTTTGGTGTGGTATGGTGAAATTGCATGATGTTGTATGGTATGGTATTGTATGTTATGTGTGTTGTGGTATGATGTGTTATATTGAGGTATGGTATGGCGTGTTGTGGTATGCTTTAGAGTGGTATGGTATAGCATGTGCCCTGGTATGATTTGGTGTGTTATGGTTTGATATGTTGTGTTACTCTTTGGTATGGTATGGTATGGTATATTGAGCGTTATGGTGTTATGTGGAATGGTGTGGCACGATATGTTATGGTGTGGTATGGTATGCTTGTTGTGGTATCGTATTGTATGATGTGGATTTTCCTTGGACGGTATGTGGTGAGGAATGAATCGGTGAGGTATTGTGTGGCATATTGTGTTATGGTATTGCATGGAATATTATGGCATGGTATGCTGTGATGTCGTATCTTATGGTATGGTGCAGTTGGTTAAGGTTTGTTGTGGTATGGCGCGGCGTGGCAAAGTACGGTTTCGTCGGGTATAGTTTGGTGTGGTATAATATGTTGTGGTAAGAAATAGTTTGGTGTGGTATGGTATGTTGTGGTTTGTTATGGTTTGTTATTGTGTGGAATAGTCTGGTATTGTATGATGTGGTTTAGTAAGATATTTTGTAATATGGTGTGTTGTCGTTTGGTATGGTGTGATAAGGTGTGGTGGGGTAAGGTATGGTATGGTTATGATTTGGCATTGTATGATTTGATGTGATATGGTGGAGGTGGTATAGTATGTTATGGTATAGTAATGTATATGAATATATATCATATATATGGTATGGTATTTTGTGGTTTGATATGGTGTGATGCGTGTTGATATGTTGTGGTTGGTAATGGTGTTTTATGGCGTGGTATGCAATGATATGGTTAGATGTGGGATGGCATGGCATGTGTCGTGGCATGACTTGATGCGGTATGGTATGATATGATGTGGTATGATGTGGCATGGTATGATGTGGCATGGTATGTGGTATGATGTGGTATGATTTGTTGTGGTGCAATATGATGTGGTTTGGTATGCTGTGATGTGGTTCGCTATTGTATGGTATGGTATTGTATGTTATTCATGTTGTGGCATGGTATGGTGTGTCATGGTGAGGCACAACCTCGTTCCCAGGGCTTCAGTGTGAGGACGAGGCGAGACACGAGGAAGCCCTGGTCTGGGCCGGTCAATTTTGCACTCTGATTGGCTAACACCATATTGTCTAAAAATAACTGAACTTGACAGTTGACAATAACAATTCAACATTTGTATTTTTATGATTCTTGTGTGTACGAGTATGTTTTGCAAAATAATCTTTCAAAGTAACACGTTTTCTCGACTGCATGATTTACTTTCGTCTCGGCCGGTTACAAAACTCAAAAGCCGTGTCGAAGTGAGCTGTGATGTTTCCTGACAAAACAAGGAACGTCTACTATTATTTAAGCTGTAGTTTTCCTTGTACAGTATTTATTAGTGCACTAGATGTCTGATGAAATACTACGCGTATTGCATTGTAGTAATATTTTAATTTACAATATTCTGTACTGACAAATAAAAGCAACACAAACAATTAAATGAAACTACTAAATTAATTTAGGCCCTGTTTGCTTAATAGCTCTACTCCTAGGCCGATGTAGTCTCCACAAGATTCGCACGCCACCCAGTTTACAGTTTCAGAATATCCCGAATACTTGAAAATTGCGACTATACGATAAAATAAAACAAAGATTGTGAAGGGGATAAAATTTGTAGGCAAGCATTGCTCCTGAATGGAATCCGTATATTCCTGTACAGCGTAAACAGGTTACGCGAGGTTTTATATTTGTGTTTATTTATATTGAACTAAGTCAGATCTATAAGAGCATATTTAAACTAAATATTAATTATAGCAATAGCCATATTGTTGAAGACGAGAGAAAGGAAATTTCGTGTGAATCACCACTTGCATGGAGACGCCTAGATGCAGCTTGGATGCAGCTTTGCCTGCAGTTGAAAATCTCCAGAAATATCGGTATATCTTAGAAAACATAGACGTCGACGGGATCTTCAGGGATTTCAGCTGATTCGTGCCAAACTTCGCTCTACACATAAAATAAATAATATCGATTGAGAAGTCTTTTGGCTATTTATTTGTTTCGAAGACTTGTATATTTCATTTGATTTCATTAAAGAATATCTCGCCACTCCTTGACGAGTAGCTGTCAAATACTGCCATTTTTTGTCGTCACGTGACCGACCCAAACCAGGGCTCCCTCGTGTCTCGCCTCGTCCTCACACTGAAGCCCTGGGAACGAGGTTGGGTGAGGCATGGTGTGGTGTGTTGTAGTATGGTATGGTGTGGTGTGGTACGGTATAGTGTGGTACGGTATGTTGTGGTATAGTATTTGATGTGGTATGATTTGTTGTGATATGTTGTGGTATGGTGCGATGTGTTGTTGTATGGCTTGGTATGTTGCCTCGTTTGATTTGTTATGATATAACGAGCTAGGTGTGGTATGTTATGCTATGTTGGGTTATGCTATGATCTGCTGTGCGGTATGGTGTGATATGGAATGGTGTGGTGTGGTATGGTATGGTATGTTATGGTGTGGTATGGTATGGCAGAGTATGGTTTAATCTGGTATAGTTTCGTGTGGTATAGTATGTTATGGTATCGAATAGTGTGGTATGGTATGTGTTATGCCGTGTTGTGGTTTGTTATGGTTTGTTACGGTGTGGTATAGTTTGGCATGGCATGATGTTGTATGGCATGATATGGTAAGGGATGATGTGCTGTGGTTTGGTATTGTGGGATCTGGTATGATGTGGTGTGGTGTGGTGGGGTGAAGTATGGTATGGTATGGTGTGGTATTATTCGGTATAGTATGATTTGGTATAGTATGGTTTGGTGTGGTATCGTTGGTGTGGTGTAGTAAGTCATGGTATGGAAAAGTGTGATATGGTAAGGTATGGTATATTGTGTTTTCATGTTGTGTGAGGGGTTTTGTTCTGTTTGGATTTGTTATGCTATGGCGTGGTACGGAATGGTATGGTTTGATGTGGTATGGTTTGGTATGGTATGGTATGGTATGGTATGGTATGGTATGGTATGGTATGGTATGGTATGGTATGGTATGGTATGGTATGGTATGATCTTGTATGGTGTGATGTGGTATGGTTTGATGTAGAATGATGTGGTATGGTGTGATATGGTATGTGGTATGATTTGAACTGGTCAATATGATGTGGCACGATTTGGTATTTTATGATGTAGTTTGCTATGCTATGCTATACTATGATATGGTTTGTTGTGGTATAGTATGGTGTGGTATGTGTTGTTGTGGTGAGGGATGGGTTAGTATGGTTTGGTGTTTTCAGTATGGTGCCGTATGGTGTAGTAGGTGTGGTATATGGTACGATTTGGTGGGATGTGTTATGGCATGTTGTGGCATCGTAAGGTGTGTTGTGATATGGTATGCTATAGCATGGTATGGTATGGTATGCTGTGGTGTGGCATTGGGTTGATTGGTATATGGTATTGTGTGGTATACTATGTTTTGATGTGGTATAGCATGGAGTGGTGTGGGTTGGTATTGTGTTGTATGGTATGGTATGGTGTGGTGTGGTGTGGTATGGGTTGGTGTGGTATACATGGCGAGGTATGGTATGGTATGGTATGATATGTTGTTGTATAGTGTGGCCTGCAATCGTGTGGTGTGTTATAGTATGATGTAAAATTGTTGGCCCCATAACATTTTGACTATTTCAGACATTGATGAATGCTCAGAAGGGAACTTCAGTTGCGACCCAAATGCAACTTGTATCAATAGTCAAGGCTCATACAATTGTCAATGTAAAAACGGATTCCAGGGGAATGGAAAACAGAATTGCACAGGTATAAAGTTTTTTATGAAAATAATCCATTATTTTCTTTGAGTCAATCATTTTGGGTATCTAAAGATTTTTAAGGACTAAAATCTTGCAAATATTCAGATATTGATGAATGTTCCGAGGAGTCGACCAACGAATGTCATTTGAATGCAACTTGTTCAAACACTCCAGGTTCGTATGAATGCGAATGTCGAACTGGATATCATGGACTTGGACGTGCTTGCACAGGTACACTCTATGTTAGTAAAAGGCCCCTAACTCTAAATATAAATTCCTTATCAATATATTTTGTGCACTGAAGTCAAATTAAATAAATTTTGAGTCATAATATTTTGACTATTTCAGACATTGATGAGTGCTCTGATGGAAACTTCACTTGTCACCCAAATGCAACTTGCATCAATACTCAAGGCTCGTACGAATGTCAATGTAAAAACGGATTCCAGGGGAATGGAAAACAGAATTGCACAGGTATAAAGTTTTTTAGGAAAACAATCCTTTATTTTCTTTGAGTCAATCATTTTAGGTTTCTAAAGATTTCTAAGGACTAAAATCTTGCAAATATTCAGATATTGATGAATGTTCTGAGGAGTCCACCAACGAATGTCATTTGAATGCGACTTGTTCAAACATTCCAGGTTCGTATGAATGCGAATGTCGAGCTGGATATCGTGGCCATGGACGTGCTTGCACAGGTATACTCTATTTCAGCAAAAGAGGCACTTGCTCTAAAAATATATTCTTTATCAGTGTATTTCAGACACTGAAGTCAACCTAGACAAATTTTGAGCCATAATATTTTGACTATTTCAGACATTGATGAATGCTCTGATGGAAACTTCACTTGTCACTCAAAGGCAACTTGCATCAATACTCAAGGCTCATACACATGTCAATGTAAGAAAAGATACGTGGGCGATGGAACAAACAACTGCACAGGTATAAAATTTTTTTATGAAAACAATCCATTACACTGAAGTCATGCTAAACAAATATTTAATCATAATATTTTGATCATTTCAGATATTGACGAATGCTCTGAAAGAAACTTCACTTGTCACCCAAATGCAAATTGCATCAATACTCATGGCTCGTACGTATGTCGATGCAAAATTGGATACGAGGGGGACGGGATAAAGAATTGCACAGGTATTAAGTTTTTTTATAAAACAATTTATTTGTTCCTCATAAACAACACAAAATAGCGAAATTCAATTTTCGTTATAGGATTAGGTTAACCTGCACATAACCTGAAAACTAACCAACCGTTACGGTTTCACTGTTTCTGGCCGTAACGAATGCTTTGAAGGAAACTTCGCATGTCGCCCAAATATTTGGATAACTCTGAGAAGAAATGTAATACATCATTAATATTGCAAAAAACCATCATATTCATCTTAATTACATTTACAAAGGACGTAAACTTCATGGAAAGCAGGAAGTAGTTAATATTTGAAGATACCTTTCGAAAACTTTATAAATTAATATAAATTATAAAAAATATTAATATAATAAATATATATTAATATAAAAAATATTCAAGTAATTAATATTGCCGCGTATATCACTCTTGAACCCCGGAAAATTATTATGCAACCTAAAACGTTCATATTTTCGTCCAGAAACAGCAATAACACCACATTTATCTACCATAGATAATCGACTATGCTCTATTTATAAACATAAACAACGAACGCTGTTTATCAGAATGTTGTATTTTTGAAAATAATTTACCGTTTTACGTTGGCGCCGAATTGTTAATGATCCCGCGTAAATTATTTGTGGACATGAACCACGTTAACTTTGCTCATGTGAACACGAGAAATTATGACCCGTGACAATGACTTGTCGGGGGATACCTGTTTGTCCTAGAAATAATACAATTTACTATTTACAGTTGAAACCATTGTTTAACGTGATTTACAAATCAGAATGATCTTATTTTCATCTTCTGTTGCATAGACAATTGTGCACATCAACCATGTAACTCTAAGGAAAAATGCATCAGTGGAACT